CGCGGACTGCTAGTGCCGGCATCCAGCGCCCCGCCGCAGCCATGCGCCCCTCGGCCAAGCGCCCATGCCTCGGCCCCGCCGCGCCCGACTCGCTCAACAGCAGCTTCCAGAAGCGGCTCACGAAGGTGTCCATTGAGGGGAACATCGGTGAGTGGGGACGGAGTCGTGGGCAGGACCTGCGGGGAGCGTGGACCCCCCACTGCCGCCCCGCGCCCGGGGCTTGGCGCCAAATCCGTGGCGGGGGGCGGGGGCTCGGACCCGGCGCTGCGACTTCCGCAGCGCGGCCAGGACCGAGCTGCGAGTGAGGCCGGCGAATGCCGCCGCCCCATCCCGGCCGCTGGGGGCTCCCGCGCAAACTCGCTGCGAGCCGCTCCCGCGCATGCGCCCCCTCCTTTCCCCGCGCGCCGGCTCCCGAAATGGCCGAGCCGGACACGCGCCGTGCGCCCCCCCGATGACAGCGAGGGCTGCGGGCCCTGTCCACGCCCGCCGGGTTACATGGGGGAGGGAAGCGACAGCCAGCGGCTTAGCCGCTGCTCCGGCCGGGCAGATGCGAGCCCCAGCTCTGGGGCCGGCGGGGCCGACAGGCCCACACCGGGGCCCGTTCTTCCTCTGGTAATGTTCCGCAGCCGCGGGGAAATCCACCTTCGTCCGCTTGCTGGAGAAGTACAGCGAGGAGTGGGAAGTGATCCCCGAGCCCATCGCCAAGTGGTGCAATGTCCAGAGCACTGACACTGAGTACAAGGTAGGCTCGCTGTGTCTGTGGGGGGCAGAAGCCCTGGCTCCTCTTTCACTGCTGGGGGTTAGGTGCTGGGCTCCTCTCCAAATCCGGAGGGGGAAATCGGCCCCACCACAGCTGCTCTGCTCTCTCCCCAGGAGCTTACCTCATCTCAGAAGAATGGAGGGAACCTACTTGGCATGCTGTATGACAAGCCAACAAGATGGGCTTACACCTTTCAGACTTTTGCCTGTTTGAGCAGGGTCAAGGCACAGCTGAAGGCCGCCTCCGCCAAACTGCAGGAAGCTGAGCACCCGGTGCAGTTTTACGAGAGATCAGTGTTCAGTGACCGGTAAGTTGGCTGCATCCTTCCTAGGGACCTCAGAGGTCTTGCTGGACCTGTTCTTACTCCACTGTCCAGGGAACTCGATTGTGCAGTTTTAGCTAGGATTGTGGAATTAGCTGCGACTGAAGTGAAACTACTCAATGCCTAGTTGTTCAGGAGGACAACTAAAAACCCCTATCTGAAGCTAAAGTAACTAGACAAAGCTAGAGTTCATGCAATGGCTGTCCTGAGGAATCTGAGGATTGGGTTGTCAGTCCAGTAATTCTCATTAATGAGTCCTTTGTAAGCTGTATGAAGGATTCTCTACTTGGACAGTAGCTAATTAAGAGGTGCGTTACATTACAGGTACGTGTTTGCTTCCAATCTGTTTGAGTCTGGATGCATCAATGAAACAGAATGGGCCATTTATCAGGACTTGCATACATGGTTTCTGACTACCTTTGAATCATATATGCAGCTGGATGGCATCATCTACCTAAGAACCACACCAGAGGTATGGTTAAACTTATTCACTAAGTAAGCTTGCATTCTCTCCTTTTGCAAATGCTTGACATCAACAGGAGTCAAAAGAAAATAGCATACCTATTGTAATGACTGTTTTTGTGGTGCAGAAGTTACCTTTCACAGAAGTGAACTGAGGTGGCTGCATTGTGCTGACATTGGGGAGTAGGGTCAAGCAAGGGTAAGAGGTCTCCAAAAAACTAACTGGAAACCCATGTGGAATCCAACAGAGTTCCATGGAGTTTTGCACTGCTCCTGCTAGTAGCTACTTGTCTCAGCACCCAACATCAAATATTAGGACTTGGCCCAGGATAGGTGTACAGTATTTTGAGTGTTAATCATTACTGTAAATTCTTGTGCTTTACTATCTAGGCTTTCAGTACAGAAAAAAAAGCAGACTATTCATACTATATTTACAGTGTAAGTAATGGATAAATCCAAGTGCGTTTCTCAGACCTGGGTTAGATAGTGCAGCTAGACAGCCATCAGAACACAGCACCAACCACTTGCAGACAAGCAGCTCCAGCTTCCAGGTCACACAGGCTACAGCTGAACAAAGCCCTCTTTTCCAGACTGTTATTTTGATGTTGGCAACTGTAGAATGTGCTGACATCCAGTGCAGTCACTAAGGATCCTAGACTGTCACAGACAGCGTATAGTTGTGGTCTGTGACTCAACTGGTTTTATTTTTTAGCAGAAATAAAGTCTCCATCCCTTCAAATCTTTTTAGTGGAGAAACTGGAGAACCACTGTCTTTCAATGCAAGTCCTTCAGATAGTCCAGAGGCACACACAAATGGATGCTAGAGCCAAGGGGCAGTTATAAACAATCCTGTCAGCCCAAACATGGATTACTGAGTTGAGACTTATTGAGAGCCTGCTCATGCTTGATTCATTTCCATTCAATTTCATTTTTATTAAAGCAGTTAAAAGAATTTTTTTTTTAATTTTTAAATCACTTTAAGCCTTTGTTTTCACCTTAGAGGAACATGCATCTACAGTTGAAGGCACAAGAACCAAAAAGGAAGTATAACTTCTAAAAGAGATGAATACATTAAGCTGCCTAACGTGCTGAAAGCAAATAGAAGCACCCAAGCTATGTCTTGATAGACTGTTGAAGTCATGCAGTTGTCAGTGTAAAGAACACCTCATGACTGCTGCACTGCTTGTATGAAGCAAAAGGCATGTTTGAGTGCACACACCAAAGAACAATTTTAAGCATACCTTTTTGTTTACTCTTGCAGAAGTGCATGGAAAGACTACAAATTCGAGGCAGAGAAGAGGAACAAGGAATTGAGCTGGAGTATTTGGAAAGCCTCCACCATAAACATGAAACCTGGCTTCATGAGAGGACTATGAAGTATGAGCCCTTCTATATACATAACATTGTGGGCAGCTTGGGTGGTTAAGGCCTGACAGACTTATTGGGGGGGGGCAACTACAAAAGGATTTATCTGGAAGAGCTGAATTAGGCTGCAGTAGTTATCTACCTATACCAAGGCAAACTTGTGAAAGGTCCCCACAGATCTGCCTCACTTGGTGTCAACCCTGGTGGGCACCCTAAGGATAATTATAAAATGGTTTGGCTAGGAGACCTCTTGCCCCACTGAATTAGCTCCATTTCCTGTAGTTCAAATGTACAACAGGGCCAGTCTAAGCACTTTGTAAACAATTCAGCCCATCCCGGAAGAATCAACTTTCTGCTGTTTTTCTTTAGCACGCTGCCAGCTAGATGCTTTCTAAATAAAGTATTGCCTCTTACTACCTTTAAAGCTACCTATTGTAATTTAACTAGGGTTTCTATAATTATTGCCTCTTACTACCTGGTTTCAAAGTAACAAGTCGTGTAGTCATTAAGCTTCTCCAGTGAAAGAAGCTGTCTATAAGAAATCCAGGAGCTTAATGTGAAACAAGGTATACTGCATATTTTTCTCAGTTCCCCTCCTGACTCTACTGTCTTTGTACTTATTTGGGAATTATATTTTGATGTTCTTCATCTGGACAGCTTTTTCTTTTGAAGCCCGAAGTGTGTTGCCAGATAGAGGAAACAGTGTTAAAATCCTGGCATTTTGCACAAGTTGCTGCCAGGATAGAGGCATGGCAACTACTTTTAAACCAAGTGTGCTTGACTTTTTGTAGATTAGTAGTCTCCTATTCAGCAGAAACCAGGGATCCATTTCACTGTAAATTACTGGACTCCCACCATTTAACATACAAATATTAGGCTACTGGCACAGTCTATCCCCAATATGCTTAACTACACGGGTGGAACTCAACCTGAAATATTTAAGGGAGGAGCAGAGAGGGGAGTAATGACCATCGTATGCAGTCTGGAGAATGGCCACTTCCCACTTGCTCTCAAGGTTGGAATGGGAGGGAGAAGACAAGTTTCTTGTATTAAAGTAGTTGAAGGCAGCTAAGTCTTCAAAGGCAGATCAGAATTTTGGATCAAGCTTCCTAGTATGCTTCAAATTTTAGTATTTTTCCTATCTTAGTAAGGTGGGGAAGGAGAAGTTAACAGATTGCTAAGTAGCACTTGGGGGAGAGGGGGCAGACAAGCAGCTCAGGGTCGACTTCCACACGTTTATTAATTTTAACTTGTGTGCAAGCTGTCTAGTATGATCCCCCAACTGCCAGTTATAACCTACTGAAGATGCCACTCACAGCTAAAGTTTTTATTACAAAAAAAAAAAAAAAAAAAA